TATCGTACTTCTATTATTATTTTTCCTACCTTAAGGTATGATTTTGTTGCAGCTTCCACCGTCTGCGCCCTGGGTGGTATGCTCACAAATGCTTCCTCAGCATATGCATATCTTTTGAGGAAGCATGTATGAGCATCTTGTCCAGGATGCAGACGCTACACCTCAACGAAATTATATCTTTACATACATATGTACATCCCTGAAACGTCAACGAAACATTTTTAAATGTTTATGATACATACTATTAATGTAATGTAAATGTAAACAAAACATTACAGAAATAATTCAAAACCATTAATGAAACATTTTAGTAGTGTACCGTAATTGTCAGCTGTATGTTGCAGAAACGTTTCAATAAAACATAAAAAGGGTCGGACATTAGCAATTTCAGACACGTTTCATCTATGTTTCAGAAATATGTCGAAGAAACGTTTCATGTTTCAATAATATGTATCAGAAATGTTTCTGAAACGCAAATTTGTTTACTGGGAATATACGTTGTAATCTCACCTAGTTTAGTGAGAATAACTTAACTTTTAACTTTATCAGATTGATTTTGTGCATGGCTTTAAAATAAACAATTTGTAGGTTAGATGTTAACCAGTTTAATAGGAAAATGCATGGTTAACATTGCTAATGACGTCACATCGAAAGTTTAATGTCGATTTTTAAGAGCTACATGATGATTCTTGAATTTTTCCCTTTATATTATTAAATTTTTTACCTTAATGATGGAAAAGTTTTTATCCAAAGTTTGTATTCGTCTTTGTCGTAATTTGGGGGGATGGGATCTAAACCTTTTAAAACTCTATGCATTCTTTCATATTCATCTTTTACTCTCAAAGTTGCTTCTTGTTCGCAGTCTTCTCCCCAGCTTAAAGAACTCGAGGATGATTTATCGAAACTTTGTTGATCATCGAAATACATTTTTTCGATTTCTTCGTGTTTTTGCTCAACTTTCTCTCGTACATTTCTATTTCTTTTCCCCAATTTATTTGTACACATATTTCTGTTTGTAACTGAAAAAGAAATATTGATTATTTTTATTTTAGGTTATAACCTCAAGTCATAAGGGCAGGATCGATAATATTTAAGTTTACAATTAAATTTATGAATGACTTAATCATTTTGATTTTCTTTGAAGTTAATCAACTATTTTAAATGATTTAGACCGATTTAATATATAAATTAATAAAAATTTTAGAAATAAATTTGAATTTGGCGGGATATTGATTTGACAGTTGCAGTTGAAAAAATTTAATTCAAAAAGCATAATTATTAATAATTCGCGCTAAAATGAATTAAAATGATTAATTTAACATAAATTTTTAATATCTTATTTTAAATCTTCGTTTAAAAGAAAACTATTTGATGTAGTTGTCATATTAGAACTTACCTGTCATTTGACGTATTGAAAATATTTATTTTTATTATTTATTTAATTTTTATTTGTTGACATCTTAATAATAAATAGGAAAAGAGATTAGAATCTAAATAATTATTAAAATAAAATAGTAATAATAACATTTATTTGATTATTATTTAAACTTTTCAATTTGGATTTAATTGGAACTTGATTTGACTCAATAGGTACCGGAACTAAACGTGCTAAAATTAATAATCGATTTTTGCCGATTTGAAATTTTATTTATTACAAAAAATTATTAATTTTAATTCGTTTTGTTATAGTTGTCTTATTTTTTTAATATCTTAGTTTAAATATTTCGCTATAAAAAGATAATAATTGACGTTACAGGAAATGTCACATCACAACTTACCGAATCAATTGACGTACCGAATATCCCTTCTTGTCATTGTGGCTCAGTTTTGTCCCAGACACAACTGCTTACGTTTTAATTTCATAAAAGATAGAAAATAAATCTAATTGAAAGTTTTGTAAATAGTTAAAAATAACCCGTTAGATATACGTAAGTAAAGCATATTTTCGTTAAAACTCACCTTCTTTTTAATCGCGAAAATTAACGAATTCCCCATTGTCATGATCAGATGGTAATTTTTATGTTACTACGTCGTTTTCGTGTCAATTTTATAATAATTACACGTTAAACACGATTATATACGCTTAAAAATAACATAGTTATAAATCAACTTATTTTTTTATAGATACTTTAACAGAATGTTCATCTGGGATTGGTTTACAGGCGTTTTGGGATATTTAGGTAAATTTTCTTTCCTTATAATAATTCGTTAAAAATTAATTCGTGAAACTTAGGCTTGTATAGCCGTAAAGGAAAATATATATTATGTGGATTACCGAATTCGGGTAAAACCACGTTAATCAAGTTACTTTTCGAAGAAGACTTAATTGAGTGTATTCCTTATCCGAATACAACGCTTGGTGAGTTTTTATTAACCTGTTACTAATATTTTGCATGTTATCGTGTAGGTCTTTGGAAAAAATCTGGGAAACTACTATTTTTGGGGCTGGATAATGCAGGGAAAACTACTTTGTTGCACATGCTAAAGGACGACAGATTAGCTCAACATGTTCCTACACTTCATCCCAGTAAGAATAAAAAGAAAATTTAATCCTATAAATAAATCGCAGCTTCATTTTGTAATTTTTTTGCATTACGTTTATGGACTTTGGCCAAATCTTTGTTTCCTTTCGTTCTTTTTTCGATTCTTATTTATAAATAGTTTTTAATTAAATTTTTAACAATATCCACTTTAAGGTTACAACAAATTTATTATCGTTACAGAAAAAAAACGTAAATTTGATTGGGATAATAATTTTGATAAGCCTTATCTAAATGTAACTAAAATTTTTATATTTGTCAAGGTTTTCTTTCGTAAATTAATTTTTTCTTTGTCTTATTTAGCATCGGAAGAATTATCTATTGGAAATATGAGGTTTACAACTTTTGATTTAGGCGGACACACTCAAGGTAATTAAATTATTCCTTTCTATTAAAAATAAATAAATAAATAAACTTTTATACTTAGCACGAAGAGTTTGGAAGGATTATTTCCCCGCTGTAGATGCAATAGTGTTTTTGGTTGATGCCCACGATCGAGAGAGGTTCACGGAAAGTAAAAATGAATTGGAATCTTTATTAACAGATGAAACATTATCAAATTGTCCCTTGTTAATACTCGGTAATAAAATTGATCTCCCTGGAGCTGCTTCCGAAGATGAATTAAGGCAGGTGTACGGATTATTTGGACAAACCACAGGAAAAGTAAATAACCAACAACGTAACCTTAATAATTAATTAATTAATTGACATAACCTCATTAATAGGGTAAAGTGCCAAGGTCTGATCTTCCAGGTCGTCCGTTAGAGTTATTTATGTGCTCCGTGTTGAAACGACAAGGATATGGAGAAGGTTTTCGTTGGTTAGCGCAATATATCGATTAAAAATTAAGAAATTAAAACTAAAAGGATGGGAAAGGGGTGATTCAAAGTTGCGACCATTTTTTTTATAAATAAAAGAAAAAGATAGGATTTTTTTTTAAACAAACAGAATCTGTAATGTATATTAATAATTTCTTGAACTGGGAATTATTAGCTTGTAGGAAAAAATAATTTAAATAATATAATTTATTTATGGCTAATAATTTTTTTTGGTCTCAACAGAAACGGAAATGAAACAAAAAAATAAATGTAAACTTTTTATAACGAGTTTATTTTTATTATTAATGAAATTATCCATTTTTTTTACAATGTCAAAATCAAAAAATTTAAATAAATTAATTAAAATGTGGTTTTTAATTTTTTTATTAAAAATATTAAAGTTATACAACCCAAATTACATTTTTTTTGTAATGTAAATATTTATCTGAGATTTATTATTATAAACAACAAACTCATAAACAAACCCTTTTCAACCGTTTTTTCGCTTCATATTCTATTTTAATTAAAATAAAAATTAATAATATATTTAAAAACCTAACCTCACACAAATTATATTTTTGACTTTACTGGATAGATGGCGCTAGGTAGTTTTAGAAACGTCAAATAAGTTTCTCGAATTAATGAAATTTAATAAATTTAGTTGTTGTAAAATGTTTTATATTAAGAAACATGTAATAATATAGCAACATTTCTTGGTGTAATAAGAAATAACGTCTCAAATTTAATTTTTGACTTTATTTTTCTCCGATAGATAGTTTTCCCGTATAGTTTTAAAAATGTCAATTAAGTATTATTGATTTCGTGATAATCAAATTAAACTAAGATTAGAACTAAAACTAGAAATTAATAAAAGGTTTGACGTTTCGGATGCCATGTTGCAACCTTCTTCAGAAACTGGTTCCAAGTGACGAGATCAACAAATCGGTAACTATATATAAGTCGGAAAAATTAATTAATAATCAGTTTACGCCAATTACAAACTAATTAATAACTAATTGCGTCGCGTCCAGTGTGAGGCGGGAAGAGGTCTTCGTGTTCACCACCATCTTCCATGTTCTGCTAAGCTCCCAGCCATCCTCTCTGTTGACGTTATTTTTATGTCGGTGAATCTCTATGGCTTCTCTTGTCAGTCTTTGGTAGTATCTGTTGTCCCTAGCCAGCACCTTTGTTTATTCGAAGTCTATTCGGTGCCCCTCTGCATGGCAATGTTCCGCAACCGCCGACTGCTGGATCTTCTTCAGCCTTACATCCCTCTCATGCTCCTTGATGCGGCACTCGACGTTGCGTCCAGTTTGGCCAACATAAACCTTCCCACAACTACACGATAGTCGATAGGCTCCCGCTCCTTTTAATGGAGTTAGTTTGTCCTTGGTTATCGGGAGTGTGTTCCGAATTTTGCTGACCGTGCCGTACCGCACTACGATGTCGTTCTTCTTGAGGTGCCTAGCAATTCGTCCCGTTACACCTGAAACATAGGGAAGACAGATAAATCCAAGTGGTTTTGTACAAACCGTGTCCTCTTTGTGCTTTCGCTGCTTGATGGCCTGGTTGATGTCCCTCGAAGTGTATCCATTCTTCTGCAGCACGCCTCGTAGAAAGTGTTGCTCCTTCTTCAAGTTCTCTCCTTCACATAGTCTCGCTGCTCGCTGAAATAATGTACGGATCACGGACCTCTTCTGTTGGGGATGATGATGTGAACATGCCTGTAAATACCTGTTGGTATGGGTCTTCTTTCGGTATACACCAAGTTCTATATCTCCATTTGTCGTCCTGGTGACCAACACATCTAGGAAAGGTAGTTTTTTGGCAGTTTCTGTTTCCATGGTGAACTTAATCATAGGATGTTGAGAGTTCAAGTGATCCAAGAACTCTTGGAGCCGTTTTTGACCATGTTGCCATATCACAAACGTGTCATCCACATATCGGAGCCATAGTTTTGGTTTCCACTGGCTCTTCTTCAAAGCGTCCTCTTCGAATAATTCCATGTAGAAATTAGCTATAACTGGCGATAGTGGAGATCCCATGGCTGCCCCTTCGAACTGCTCGTAAAATTCTCCTTTCCAGCTGAAATACGTCGACGATAAGCAATACTCCACCAGATCTGGCACGTATCCTGGTAAACCCTCCGGAATGAGTTTTCGGCGAAGACCCTCTACAGCATCCTTAACTGGTACCCTAGTAAAAAGGGATTCCACATCGAAACTTACCAACATATCCCCAGCATCCAGCTTTACACCTTTTACCGATTCCACAAAATGTGTAGAATCCCTGACATACGATTCCGTGTTACCTGTAAAGGGGGACAGAATCTTTGCAAGATGTTTAGCCAGCTGGTATGTTGGGGAGTTGATGGCGCTGACGATAGGGCGGAGGGGGACGTCTGGTTTGTGAATCTTCGGTAGTCCGTAGATTCTTGGTGGTACCGGCGCCTGCACAAACAAACCTTTCTGCTGTTCTGCTGGAATTCCTGTGGATTTTATCAGTTCCTTCATTTTTCTAACGATTTTGTCTGTGGGGTCCTTCTTGATCTTCCTGTAGGTGGCTGGGTCCAGTAAGTTCATCATTTTGTCGTCGTATTCTTTCCTGTCCATAACAACGGTGGCATTCCCCTTGTCTGCTGGTAACACGACGATTTCTGATTTTTCTTTTATAGATCGGAGTGCCTTCTTTTCACCAACCGTCAAGTTGGATTTTGGTGGTTTTGCTGACTTCAATACTCTCGCAACTTCTTGTCGGATCTCTTCGGCTTTCAGTGCAGGCATCCCTCGAACAGCTGCTTCCACTTCGCAGATGATTTCCTCCTTTGGGACCTTCTTCGGGGCGATTGCGTAGTTCAATCCTTTGGCGAGCACAGAGGTTTCGTCTTTCGTTAGTGGGACATTCGATCTGTTAATGACGATTGTTTCTACTGGTAAACTATTACTTTTCTTCTTTTGCGACCGGCGTTCCAGAGATTCAAACTTCTTGATGTGTGTGTCACGGGTCTTCTGAAATTCGCGATTAGCCTTCTCCATTGTTAGTCTGTCCACTTTGTCCCAGTCTTCTCCGGATATACAATTGGAAAGTGAGAGGTGGAGTCGTAGTAACTTCTCATTTATTTTTTGTATAAAAAATTGTTATAAAATAATCATGTTTACTCATCGCGATATACTATATTTACATTTAAATTGTATGTATCTCGATGTTTTTACTTAAATACATAAGCCATCTATTGAAAGATTCTGTAAATGAAGTATGACGTAAAGTTCTAAAATTTGTAACTAGATGGCGCAATTAAAACGGTTATTGGTTCAAATCTTCACTAAAATAAACAGTTCTAACCAAAAAACCAAAACAAATCGTTTTTTTATAAAAAACTTCTTATAACGACTCCAACTAAATCCCGAACAACTTAATTGAATTCATAATGACGGATGATCTGGAGTTTGGGTACTGTTTATACATTTAAATCAAAATTTGATTGATAATTTTGCGTTTTAGGCCAACACAAAGTGAATCGAAAAGCGACGAAAAAAGCGATAACAGCGATAGTAATAGTAAAAGTGGTGAAGTAAACGAAAAGAATGGTAAAAAAGCGGATCAACCTGGGAGTTGTTATTGGTGAAATTAAATAAATTGAAAAATTAACTTGATTTTAAGATTTATTGTTGTAGTGGAAAAGATAGAAATTTAAATATAGTCGAATTGCTATGTGCAAATTGTCATCGGTGGTTTCACGAGTCTTGTATTGGGTACCAATTGGGAAAATTAGTTCCTTTTTTATGCAACTACGTTTTTTTATGTAAAAATTGTTCTCCGACTGGTTTGGAAAATTTTAAAAAAAGTCAAGCACGTAAGATTTAATATTGATTAAAAGGATAAATTAAAAAAAAAAATTTCTTTAGAAATCCCCCAAATGTGCATAACAACTTTAGCGAATTTACAACAAACAAGTATGAAAGATGGAACGAATCGAACGATGTTTAGTAAAGATAAAGATATCATTCCTTACATCGAATATCATTGGGAGGCTCTTACAACAACATCAAGGAGAGTTACTCAATCTTGGCATGCTACAGTTCATAAAGCATTAATGAAAGATATTCATATTTTATTTGTTTATGAAGAAACTTCGTTAGATGGACAAATGTATGGGCTTTTAAACACTGATTTAACTCATATTAAACCTAATTATGAAGCGATGATACGAGGAGGAACATTAAGAGTTACCGATATGGGAATACAACATGGTAAAAAAATTTTAATAAAAAGATCAAAGTTGTCAAAAAATAAATAAATGAAAAAAAGAATAATTAAAATTTGATAATCACCTCATTGTTACCACAAAACAAAGTAGTAGTTTATTTAAAATCAACAAAAATGATGCATGCAGGTATTTGATTACAAAAGAATTATTAAATTACTTATTCAGATAAATTTTTATCTTATCTTAAATAACTTTTTTCTAGAATTAAGTTTTTTTTCGTCGCCTAAGCGGCGAAAAATGAATGAATGAATTATTGAATGACTTAAACATATGATTAGATAAAAGTCTTTGTTATGAACATGTCAAACAATGTTTCAGTGCCGGTTCCGAGTGGTCCCAAAAGCCGGAGTACCAAACGAAAATTACCTGGCGATTTACCCACTGGTAAAAAAGGAAGAAATGTTGAGTTGGGAACGCCCAAATTACCAGCTCATGGTTATCCGTTAGATCATCCGTTTAACAAGGATGGTTATCGATATTTATTAGCCGAACCTGATCCACATGCTCCATATAGACAAGTAATAAATTTTTTTAATTGAATCAAAATTAATTTATTTTAATGTTTTTATATTTTTTAATAGGAATTTGATGAAAGTTCTGATTGGGCCGGAAAACCAATCCCCGGTTGGTTATATCGCACTTTAGTACCTAGCACGGTGTTATTAGCCCTTCATGATAGGGCCCCTCAATTAAAAATTTCTGAAGATCGATTAGCCGTGACTGGCGACAAAGGATATTGCACTGTTAGAGCTACCCATTGTAAGTTGTAACTTTAAAATTAAATTAAATTAAAAAGCATTTTTTCATTTAGGTGTAACTAAAGGATGTTGGTATTATGAAGCAACAATCGAAGAAATGCCGGAAGGTTCAGCCACTAGAATTGGTTGGGGGCAAGATTACGCCAATTTACAAGCTCCGGTTGGTTATGATAAATTCGGTTATTCTTGGAGATCCAAGAAAGGAACTAAATTTCATGAAAGTAATGGAAAACGTTATGGGATTAATACTGATGGTTATGGGGAAGGTGATACATTAGGATTTATGATTTTCCTACCTGAATCGCCTCATACAAGAAATATTCCAAATACCTTTAAAGATAGGGTAAAACATAACCTTAATTAATTTTAAAAATTATCTTTTTAACTACAAATAATAACTGGAACTAACACTTTAATTAGAAGTCTTAGATATTTTTGTCGTAGTGTTAGTTCTAGTTTTAATTGTTGTTCAGGGCTAAATTGTTGTATATTTTTATGGAACTAACACTAAACCTTTAGATACTACCGTCCTTGAATTTTATCTATTTGATCAACGAAAAGTTAAACGTCACTTTGACATAAATTGATTTCAAAACATAATATAACAAAATTTTCCTATTAATCTCACTAATTGTTACCAACTTCACAACTATTTTAGAACGTATCCTTCAAAACAAGAGTGACATCAAAACATAAACTTTAAAATTTTAAAAATTTTTGCCAATCAATTAACAGATTAACACCAATAACTAAAATATCGAAAACTATAAAGATATATTATAATAATATAGTATTTATGAAGTCGAGTAAATTGTATAATGATTATATACCAGAAGAGAGAGAAATCCTGAATACAAAATATGTCATTGATAAACAATCAGACATAATAAATAGACCCCATAAGTGTAGAGGAATTCAGAAAAGTTATTTACAGCAGAAAGGACACGTCGNCAATATATATTATATTTAAAATTATGAATTTTGTCTTGGAAAAACTTTAAATTCATATTTTTTTGCATTTATTTGTAAAATGTACTGGACCTCTTCAAAATAATGTATTGGTATAAACCGGTATAGAAATACATATATTTAAATTTCGCGCTTTAACCTAATTAGTTCCCTCACAATCCCCTTGGGAGCGCTTGTACCAAAAAATAGTGGGGAGATGACCTTCTATATACATAATATACAGGATGTATCTGAATGACTGCAACAAACTTCAAGGGGTGATTCTTTAGTGAATTTTAAGGGTACTTTGATATATGAACCCAACCCAACCCCTTTCAAAAATGGCGGAAAATTTTGGTTTAATTTTTTTTTCTCAAAAACCATAGACGCTATGAAAATGAAACTTGGGGAATATGTTTAACTCATAATAGGGCACGTTTTGGCCCTATTTGTACTTTCAACCTACCCTTCTAAACTACTAAATGCAACCACCCTCGTTCAATTTATGCCTAGATTTTTTTTATGAAGATGATAAATACATTAGAAAAATTTCAGTTAGATAGATAAAATTGTTCTAAAACTTTTTTGTCTCTCTGATGTTCTTCTAAAATTTAATAATTTCGGAGAAAAAAAATAATTAAGCAAACACTAACTGTTAAGTTGTAGGGTTGTTAATTGAAAGTTGGAATGAATTTTTAATGAAAAAATCTTGGTAGGCTTTGCAATCTGTCATAAATATTTTTGACGTTTAAATGTCAGTGGTTTTCGTACTATTATTATTGTTTTATTTAAAATTTTGAAACGTCTAGTGAACGAGCGTAAATGCGATAGAACTTTATTTAAAAATTAATTTGAAAAACAATAATAATGGTAAGAAAAACACTGACATTTAAACGTCAAAAATATTTATGACAGATTGCAAAGCCTACTAAGATTTTTTCATTAAATTTCATCCCAACTCTTGATTGACAACACCGTTGTTTAACGGGCAGTGTTTGCTTTATTATTTTTTTTCTCAAAAATTAGTCGTTTTTGAAAAAATTTTAGAGAGACAAAAAAGTTTTAGGATACTTTCATCTACCTATGTAAATTTTTTCTAATGTATTTATCATTTGCATACAAAAAATTTTAGCAAAAATGTAAAGGGGGTGGTTATGTTTAGTGGTTTAGAACGGTAGGTTGAAAGTACAAATAGGGTCAAAACGTTCCCTATTATGAGTTAAACATATTCCCCAAATTTCATTTTTCTAACGTTTATGGCTTTTGAGAAAAAAGAATTAAATCAAAATTTTCCGCCATTTTTGGAGGGGTGTATCACCCCTTGAAATTTGTTGCAGTCATTCAGATACACCTGTATATAAATTTTTCTATGATCTACCGTCCTTGAATTTTATCTATTTGATCAACGAAAAGTTAAACGTCACTTTGACATAAATTGATTTCAAAACATAATATAACAAAATTTTCCTATTAATCTCACTAATTGTTACCAACTTCACAACTATTTTAGAACGTATCCTTCAAAACAAGAGTGACATCAAAACCATCAAAACATAAACTTAAAAATTTTAAAAATTTTTGCCAATCAATTAACAGATTAACACCAATAACTAAAATATCGAAAACTATAAAGATATATTATAATAATATAGTATTTATGAAGTCGAGTAAATTGTATAATGATTATATACCAGAAGAGAGAGAAATCCTGAATACAAAATATGTCATTGATAAACAATCAGACATAATAAATAGACCCCATAAGTGTAGAGGAATTCAGAAAAGTTATTTACAGCAGAAAGGACACGTTGTCGTCAGGAAATGATACTATAACATATTCAATGATACAGAACATGCTAGAAAACGCAAAGAGAAATTTAATAACTAGCTACAATAGAATTTTGAGAGGAGGAGATTTACCGAAAGAATGGGAAGTCTCCATAATTGTACCTATTCTCAAACCTGGAAAAAACCTAATAAGGCGGAAAGCTACAAACCAATATAGCTTATATCATGTATTAGAAAGGTCTTTGAGAAAGTTATCACTAACAGATTGGAATGATGATTAGAGCATAACAAGGTGCTGGATTAAACACAATTTGGATTTAGCTTATATTTATCTACAAATATACAATTAGCTATATAAGTACGAAGGCTTTCACGGCCGGTGTGAATTAAACTAAGATTAGAACTAAAACTAGAACTAACACTAGAAACTTTCGGGTTTTGCCGTGCGTCTTTTAATAAAAGGTTTGACGTTTCGGATGCCATGTTNTTCAACTGCATAGGTTTGTAATGGTTTCTATGAACAATGCAGATTCTAGAATATGTATTTAAACTTAAAAAAGACTATAATTAAACAAGTAGTAGTAACTAGTTTCAACTTCATATGTCCTCATCACTATATTCATTGTGTGAGGGTTCTGGACACTTGTCTTTCATGGTATTCGATCGGAATTACCCTCTTATGGCAAAGTTGAATTAAATCGTTTTTCTTCTTGATCGATATAGGCAAGAGTTCAGTATAACATTTCTTTAACTCAGTTTCTTTTGGAATATTATTACTGGGCCTACCTTTTGTTTTGCCTTTAATGTTAAACATTTTATACTCTTCATCATCTTTTTTTTCTCTTTTTCGTACCTTAATTGTTTGATCTTTAACCATTCTATTTTTTCTCCCCCTTCATCCCGAATTGTATTTTGTAGTATAGATGTATTGAGTGCTTTCAAGTCAATAATGTCACGGTAAGTCATTTGCTCTACAATGTAGGCACCAGAAGTTTTATTTTTGCCTCTCTTGGATCTTGCTAGTGTCATAATTGTCTTCCAATCATTAAGACAAAATACAGGAATGTATTTTTTTGCACTTTCAATGCATCGAATCGGCCTCCATGTGCGAGTGACCTTTTTCTAAAAAGTTGTGAGTAATAATCTCTATAGGTAACTGGTTGACTACAAACAACAAAAGAGCCGCAATGTATTTATTTCGGTTTTGGCCGCCACATGTGTCGCTAAAGAGTGACACTTCTTTGACAGTATCAGGTAAAGTTTTAAACCACTTCAATAAAGCTGTACCTATTTCACAACTTCCTCGTTGGCCATCAACTTCGGACCAAAGGTAACAATATCCCTTATTTGGTGGAGCTGCTTCATAAATTGCTAAATTGTATGCACATAGCTTTCGACTGTAGTAAAGAGGTGATACATCGGAGCATGGAATTTGCAGGACACTCTGTAAGTCAAAACTTACTGATACAAAAGTTTTGTCATGAATTGCTCTTTGTTTATCTAAATCTTTTGCTCTATTAGCATCATCCCTTCGCTTTATGTGAGAAAGAAATTCTTCTGATTTTTCAATAGATTTAGCTTCTTTAACACACAGCAAACATTGATCTTTCTTTGGTTTGAAGAAAGATAAGTTATACTGCGTACAAAACACCCTCCTATATGTTATTGGAGAAACAAAATCCTTTTGATTGCTGATCTGTAAATCTTTGTACAATTCATACATTTTAAGAATGGATAAGGTAGAGTCAAGATACTTCCGTGTAGTTCCACGTCTACAATAGTGTGATTCCATCACAGGAAATGATTCTATATGTCTCTTCACCTCATTCAAAATGACAGGTTTAGTCTTATTTCCTGGGAAACTTTTTCCTCGTCGATCTTGAATTGAATGATTTATTCCATTT